TGGTAATCGAACGTACCAAAACGCGTGAGCAATTCTCTCTCAAAGTCAGCCCATGTAATGACCTGTTGCCACCTACGGTAGATCCTTGAGAGCCACTGCCACCATACGTTGGCCTCTCCATCCAAATAGAATGTTGCGTACCTCACTCGATCGTGGCTTTCGGTTTCATTCAGTTCGAAATATTGCGCAATTTGGTTGAGCCACGCCTCTGGATCACTACCCGTGAAGATGGACATTACGAATCTCAGCTTGTCGGGCTTTAGCCGTTCTCGATAGGTGGACGCCTGCGATTGCTGATCGAACTCCTCCTCGTTCTCGTAACCCTCGCATCGCCGGTCCTCGTCATGTTCGCGCGCGCGCCGTCGCTCGCGTCGATCCTCGCGCCGTGGGGATGGTGTGCGTTCGGCATGTTCGGCGTGTTGGCGCGGTTCGCGCCTTGGGGGATCGTCGCGATGGTATGGGGGTTGCTGCTGGATCGCGCGCAAGACTTCCTCTAATCGCTGTTCGAGTTGTGTGACAACGACGTTGGTGTTGTTTTGACTTTCGTCAAGCGATCCAAGCCTTCCTTCCATAACCTCGCTGACAACGACGTTGGTGTTGTTTTGACTTTCGTCAAGCGATCCAAGCCTTCCTTCCATAACCTCGCTCATACTTCGCATCTGGATGTCAAGATTGTCGATCTTATCCTTCATCTCTTTGTTGGCCATAGCTTTTCTTTTTTCTCTCCGCTCGTTGCTTTGTGGACTCGTGGTTGACGATGGTGATGATGATGAACAAAAATATTTTTATATATATATATTTTTTTTTTTATAAGGGGGACGAAAAAACAAAAAGAAAAAAAAAGGGAATAGGGTAGAAGAAAAACACACGATCAACACCTCTCAATGATGAAAAACACACGATCAACACCTCTAAAGCAAAGTTGGAAGAACCAAGTTCTAGATTTCTATTGATTTCTTGAATGATGAAAAATAACATAGGGTAAGGGCCTTTATATAGGCACAAGATTTATCTAAGTCTAATCTACCTAAGAAAATAATAAAGTAATAAAATATTAGGAATCCTAAACAAGCTAGAAAATATAATGCTAGTTGGAAACTAGATCTCTTGGTTTGCACACCAAGTCTTCCAACCGCCTCAACCCTCCTTCTCTTGCGCACGCCGCCTTGCCCAACCGCCTCGGACGCCCTAGTCCTTGAGGACTAGGGCACCGCCTTCCACGCGTGCCTCGTCACCCGGCGTGGCCAGCACGCCAGTGCCTTGTGCGCCTGCCCCATGTGTGTGACCTGCCGCCAGTCCGCATTCCTCAAGGAGTGGGGTTTCGCGCCCCGCGCGTACTTGTGCGTCGTCTGTATTTCTCGCGTGCTGCTCCGCTGCGCCTGTCATGTGCACGTCTTCGCCAGTCGCCCGTGTTCCGCTCGCATACGCCAACCGTGCATACCTGCTGGCCAGCCCCTGCTTGCCCATCACGCGTGCAATTTGTGCGCGTTCGTTCTCACTCATTACCAAGCCCTTTTCGCACCCCTTGCGCGCACTATGCTCAAGTGCGCGCATTTCTGCC